TTGTGGCACCAGCTCTGCACAAATTGTAGTCTAGGGTTCATCACCTTCCTCCCCCCTCCCCCCACTGTACCCGCATGAATTCTTCCAAAAGCCAATAACTGGATGCAAAATACCATATGTGAAGTGACTTTTAGTATGAATTTCCTTTGAATATATCCATATCTTTTACATTAGTATTTTTTAAGTTTTCTGACTGCTTAAATTCTCTTTTCAGTTTAAGAAATGTAGTTTGACGGGGAAAAAGCTGCTAAACTCAGAGGCTTAATGGTCCCTCACCTCTTACAGTCCAAATCAATCTTTATGAAAAGTCAGAGTCAAAGACAGTACTTCTCCATCCATCTTCCCCCATCACCACCCCATGCTGATATTCTAGTCAAATATGGATCACAATTTGCCAATATTTTCCCCATCTCTAGAATTATTATGAAGGTGTTCTAGGAGAAAAGAACTTCATTGTCTGGTCACTCCATGTACCACTGGAGGTTCTTCAGTGTAACAGACTCTTCATTGAGAGAGGTGACCAGTGGAATGCAGAGGGTTCCCTTAGGGTGTATGGGAGAAAGAGAGAAAGGAAGAGGAAATTATTGAAAGGTGGGAATTAGAAAGTCGGAGGAGAGGGTGGGCAGAGAAGTGCTTTGGGGATCATGGGGAAAAATCCAGCACTGCTGCAACGTAGGCAGAAATTAATGCTAGTGGAACATGGGATTGGCCCAAATTCGTGCTCTCAGGATGGAAGTGATGGGGTCACTCTGTGCCTTACTTTCACGATTCTAGCCACAACCAAAAGGGCTCCCCCACACGAGAGACATTCAAGGCAAAACTGGACAGTCATCTGAGTAGGATGGTATCAGTTGGTGACCTGCAACAGCAATTGGTTGGACTTGATGCCCAAATGATGAGGTCATCACTGAAGGGCTTATTCTATGTTTTTCTACCATAGTAATAAACATAGAATTTCACTGTTTTGGTCATCCAGGTTGATCTCACGCTTAATGCAGGAATCTTACAGATACAGCATTGCTCATAGAGAGCTATTTAACTTCTGCTGAAATGCTTCCAGTGAGGAGCTCCCATCACCTCCCAAGGTATTTTATTCCTCTGCCAAACTCTTACAGTTTGGAAGTTTCTCCAGATGTTTAGCTCAAACCTCCCACGAGCTCTAGGCCATGCCTCCTCGGACTTGGGTTCCAGGCCTCTCACCCTTGTCTGCTCTAGTTTGCCAGTTAGCTTCTGAAAAGTGGATACACTATTCTAGATGTTCACCATCTTTTAGGCTGTTGCCTAAAAGGGAAAGAGCAATCTTTCAAGATTATGGGATGGCTTCCCAATAAAGGTCCACTTGACTGCATCTCTGCTCACCTTTTAAGCTGACTAGGAGTACAAACTCATTTCTTCCAGTGTGCTTTTAGATGTACTTTCACCTTTATTTAAAACATTTCTATGCTACACCAAATTGGCCTAATGCTAACCCTGACTGATTTGTGATGGTTTTGCTATTGATACTGTCTCTTCTTTTGTAATTGTAGTGCCAAAGAAGCATAAAAACGTAGGATTCTTTTCCTGCCTACCTGAAGATAACAGATACTAAACTGGGACCTTCTGCATTCAAAATATGTGCTCTACCACACACCCATGACCCTTTTGTACATTTTTATGTTGTCAGTATTCTTATTGGTGTCATGTGTTTTAAATTTGTAAAAACACAATCTAGTCCAGATGATTGTAGCCCTTGAAATTAATTGGCTTACAGGCATTTTATGCAAGCCAGGAGGGGGTGTGGAACTGAGACTTCCTTCATACTTCAAAACATGTAAATGCCCAATTTCAGCTGTCCAGGTGTCACACCTCAGAGTTTGAGGGAAGGAGGCTGAAACATGGCCAGGAAACCTCCTCCTGTGGCAGTGCTGGTCTCCAGTGCCCTTCCCCCAGAATGCTCGCCCGTCTCTGAGGTCGCGCTTGTGACTTCGGAGGAGCAGACAGAGTGGCTCTTTCTATGCTGGCTGCAGGAGGGTGGCCAGGCACTCTGAGGTGAGAGTCCCACCTTCAACTCAGAGCAAGTTTAGCTTCTGAGGTTAGAGCTGGGACTCCATATAATCCTGAAATGATCTAGACAGTATTTAGTGGCCAAAAGATTCCACCAAAAGCCATTCTGGAAGGTATTTTTTACATGGAGAAGTGTTGGGTGAGGGTGAGAGTGAGAAACCAGAAGACAATAGCCTGTAAGATCAATGCACACCCAAGCACGTGGACAAAGGCACATTCCATGTCCAGCACACCTGCACTAAAGTCTAATCCCAGTTACCAAGGCAGGGTACTCCAGGACTGGTCAAGACGGGGAGAGGGGGGGAATAAGCTATCAATATTGGTTTAATTCTTGATCATGGTTTCCCTGCAGAAATGGGTTCCAGGTCAGCCAGCAGGTGGGACCACAGTGGGCTTCTCTTCTCCACTTGCAATATACAGGTCACTGCAGATTTACCTCTGGGGAAACCCTAGAATTGATGTGGTCGGAAATCCACCTGAAAAGTAGTCCGTGTTTCTCATCAGCTGCTATCAGGCTGTATTTGGAGTCCTACAGCCTGTTAAATACACATGACATACCTTTGCGCTAAGAAAAGATGCACTTTTAGGAGAAGGTTGAGCAACTCCTGACCTTCCTCATGTTTGGCCTACAGTTCCCATTAGCCTTAGCCACCAGAACCAACGATGAAGGCCAATGGGAATTACAACCCAGCAACTTCTGGAGGGCCGCAAGTTGCCCGACCCTGCACTAAAAGTACAAATCCTATATATACACCTACTTGAAAGTATATCACTCATTGACCACAGGAAGCATTGCATCTGAGTGGACCTGCAGAGGCTGGTGGTGGGATAAGGATTTAAAGTGGCATTTTCTTAAGAGTAGAACATTTCCAGGTTTCAAAGATCAGGAAGTGTTCCTCAGAGATCATCAGGTCTAATTTCCAATTCTTATTATGTTTGAAACTGATAATTTTTGGCAAATCAAGGTAAGCATGGAAGAAACAGAATCACCTGAAAAGAGAAACACTCTAAGTTTCTTGGCTTGGTTCACTGATCTCCGTGCATTCTTGTTTTAAAGAGAGACTTAAAGCTGATACCTAAATGGCACCTTGAAAGGGATTTTAGGTGTGTTGGGGGGGGGGGGGAATCCAGCCATCAGTATTGGGATAACTTTAATGCTATACACACAGTTCCTTTCCTACATGCAGATCTTCTTGGGAAACCTTAGCACACAATTTATGCTAAGAAATCCATCTGAAAGTAGTCAGTTTTTCTTATCAGCTCCACCAGTTTCCTATGAAAAATCCCCATAAAGAAAAGAATGGCCCCATTGGAAAGGCACGCAGGCCATGTGTGTGTGGGTAAAATGGCTTGTTGACTGAAAAAGAAGCAAATAAAATGCTCTGCTTGCACATGCATGACAAGACGTTGGGGCAGGTGGGCTTAAAGCCACGATGGGATTTGTTTTGGTTCCATCTGGACCACCGATGGTGCTACAAATTTGCCAGAAGAACTACGAAATAGCACCAGGGTTGTGATCTGGCACACTCCCCTAAGGGTCCAGTATTGCCTTTCTGCCAACCCCTTCCTCAGAGCCCTTCTTGAGGGTGTCCTTACAGGATTTCTGAGGCTGTTAGCACCAATGTTGTCTGAGGGTCCAAAGCTCAGCTACTGTAGGTTGCCTCCCCTCAATGATCCGCCCACAGATCTCTCCAGTGATGCTTGCTGTAAAGATCTCTCTACATCTGCTTGCAGCATTTCATGGTTTCTGGCTAGTCTCATCGGACTCTGTCAAGTCCCACATTTGACTCCTGCATCAGTTAGTGAAGAAAGACCAAAAGGCATGCCTCAAAATTGCCCAGGTTCAAATGACTGAGAACTGGGCTCCTCAGGTTGAGCCTAAATATGTCTGTGAAGCCACCTTGGTGGCACTGAACTCTCTGTCTCTCTTGACTTATAAAGTTCCCAGGCAAGTTATGCATCTTTAGCCTCCCCCTTTGCCTTCTGAGATAGGGTTGTTTTCTAAGACATTTTGTGACTAGGAGGCCCGTACCCAAAGCAGCCATTTTGTGTAACCACCAAAACGACTCTCAAAACTACTCAGATGTGCCATTGGCCCAAAATGTTTTGCAACTCCTGTCTTGGAAAGACACTAATTTTGACTCCTTTGGATCCCATCACATCCTTCTGCAGGGGATGTAAGCCTAAGGGCTAGATTTACCCCAGTCCAGAGCCCCACATGTGGAGAGGCACAAAAATCGGTTTGCCCTCTTCATCTACCTTCATCTACCTCACACTCCAGCCCTGTATGGACATCCTGGGACACCCACATTCCTGAATATACAGCCCTGGTGTGTACAAAGTCCAAAGCACAGAGGACAAGAAGTTTTCAATGTGTCGTCGATGGGCCCAGCTTTTTCTTTGGACTCTTTACCTAAACCAGGTTTTATTCATTTATTTGATTTGCAGCCACCCTTTCTATCAAGAAGGACACTCGAGGTTGCTAATTTGGATAGCAGAGCTTTTCAAATGAAGGATGTCCTATATAAAAAGGGACACATGGCCACCCTAATTCACACGCAGGCTTCATTTATTTTATTTAGTGTTGAGTTTTTTTATTTGAACTTTCAGGTTCCACAAGGATGTCCAGGGACACTGGAGGCAGGGGAAGGAATGTCGGTTTTCACATATGGGGTGGATTTGGGGCTGAAGTTCCATCCGATCTAGCCCTGAGCAAAGTGTGAAACGGAAACTGGGCATGGTCGTGGAGGATGTCCTGCACAGCCAGCACCTCGTCTTCTCTCTAAGCATCAGCCTGGGAGAACAAGCCTTCTCTTGGAGATATTACCTCACTTCAAATTATATGCTTTCCTTTTCTTTGTTTGCTTTTTAAAAAGTGCAAGGGCAACTGCACGCACACACGCACGCACACACAGACACAAGGGAAACAAAGAAAAAGTTACTACGGTAACCAAGGATGGATGGAGAAATTGATTGTACTCGGACACAGTGGTACTGCTAAACTGGAAAGCACGGCACATGACAGAACAAAACATTTACCAGTAGGATAGTTCTCTTGAACGGTTGCATGCTTAACAGAGAGGCAAAAGAAACCATAATGCATGTTGAAAACAGAGTTGAATATATGATGGAAAGATTTTGCTTCAGGCTGTTCAGGTGGCATCCTGACCCAGAGTTTCACCAACATAAACATGAACAATTGTTCCAGTAACTCTGGGGTTTGCCTACGGGTTCCTGAAGAGCGTTCCCCAAAGATCACTTTTCCTACACTGATTAGTTTTAGCTTTTTTAAGAAAAAAGTTTCTAGCCCTTTTGATTTGGAAAACAATATTTTGATAAGTCGAACCAGAGATTTTTTTTTTGGCATGTCTCTAGCTATAGCTGGCCTGATTGAAGCAAAAAATATTATTAATACTTTCCCTAACAACCCATTTAGGATACACATGGGGAAAGACTAACCCTTTTATTCAGTGAGGTCCAGTGATCAGCAAAGCAAGCAATGAATACAGTGTGAATTTATGTTCTCATCAGCTGCTCTTGATAACTCTAAACACCTTTATAGTCGTTTCTTTTTCCCTCCTACCCGGCTTTATGAAATGGAGACAAATAAAGAGGTTGTCTTATTTTACTGTAGGACAAGTCAGTTTTGAAGCTATAAATTACAACTTGCATCTTTAAGAAGTGCTACATAAAAGATTAGCAAGCCCGACCTATGTAATTCTCAGCCCGGTTCTACCCTTTCAAGCCAGTGCCTCACCTACATCACAGGGATGCTCTGAGGATAAAATGGGGAGAAGCAGAATCTTGTAAGCTGCCCTGGATTCGTTCAAGCCTCTAACTGCAATGCAATAGTCATGCAATAAAATTCCACGATATTTTTATCTGACCAGTAAGTGATTTCAGGGGAATACGAAGCTTGCTTAGATAGAGAAAACTGTCAGCATGTTCCCTGCCCCAATTAGCAGAGGCTAGAAGTTTTAGGGTTTTTTCTGCCTCAACAAGCATAGGATTGCCCCCAAAGTCCTTATCTAGCTGTTCCATGCAGTTATAGGTGCTACAACCCACAAATGGAGCTTCCCAGCTCAGGAGGACATTCCCCAGGACTGCCCTGTCCATCAAAATAAATGGGGAAGCCATCGACTTCTATTTCAGGAGCTTAATTTCCAATCCAGGTATGGAAACTAGTGGGATTTAAAGGCATGGTGAATCTGTACTTTCCCCATGGGTCAGCAATGCTGACTTTTCTCTGGATCGTATCATTCGAAGCCTGAACCGTTGTTTGCAAAAAGAGGTTTTATCAAGAGTTGAGGTGTGTAGTGGGGAAATAAGATGTTTTTGCAACTGCAGTTACAAATGGAAGCCATTATATAGAGAGGTTGAATTTGCCAAAGAAAAGCTGTAAGGTGACTGATCTGAAAGGGCCACTTTTTCTCCCCACTAAAAAATAGCCTAGCAGAGAAAGATAGCTTAGAGATCACTGGCCTGGAAAGCTTATACAACAAAGAAGATGAGAATGCCCTATTCTCCAGGCAGTGGCTTAATTGTTTGAGTGGCTGCTTGCGACAGTCAAAACTCCTGAAACCTTGGAAGGTTCTTCCTGCAAAGCTTGTGCTCACTGAACTGGGTGTAAGCCCTGTTGAACTCAGTGGAATTTACTTCTGAGTGTATATGTATAGGATCGCACTGCTAGTGTCTCTGTACAGTAGAGCGAGCAATCCTGTACACGACGTCTCAGAAGTCAGTCCTATTCTAGTCAATGGGAGTTACTCCTGGGCAAAGTGGGTTTAGGACCGCAGCTGAAGCTGATTCTCAGCTTTCTGTGATCAGACGAGAGAGCTGCTGGACTTCTACAGAGCCATAATGTTGGACATGAAAAATAAAATTAACCACACACTGTGGATCCATGTAGCCCAAAATTAACTTTTGCAGACTGACACCCACCATCTACTCTCAGAAATGGGAAGCTTCCACTTGCAGCTTTACCAGCTACTGGTGGCTGCGAAACAAACATTTTTGGTTGGATTCAGGATTTCCTTTCTGCAAAATAAGAGGAAGGAGTCTACTTGCTGAGAGTTTGTCTAACAGATTTGGGGATCACCTGTCCCCCCAGGACACAGCTCACCCCAGCCGGCAAAGTTTTCTGAGTCTCCGGGTGGCATTTTCAGGGAGCTGTGGGAGGGAAGGTTGGGGAAGCCAATGCACATCAGGGCAGCTGATCCAAGGATTTCTTGGACCCATTCTTATCAGCGGCTTGCCAGCAAAACTGCACTGTTGCTTTTGGCAGTTTCAGTAACACGGTTTGGGAAAAGCTTGGAAGAGAGTTTGCAATGTTGGCTTTCTTCCTATACCTATATATCTCTGAAAATGAAAATCGCATTCAAGCCACTGATATTGTATTTGTTGGGTGGGGGAATCTATTTTAATTAAGAAATACATTTCTTTCGTCCTAAGTATATTTTAAGAGTGCTTCACATAGGAGCTGAAATGACAAAAGTAAACAAGAAGAAGAGATGAGAACTAGGCCCAGGAAAGGAAAAAGAACATCTAGAATGCAAAGAAATAATATTATCAGGAATCCTCTAAAAATAACAATATTGGGATAGTGCAACTTGAAACCCCCACTTTGCATTTTACAGCCAGCCAAGGGTGAAAAATAGTTCACCTTTCAATTACTTAATCTTTACAAAATATCTCACAAAATATTTTGTCGCCTATAGAAATTAGCGCCTATACATCAATATAGATTCTTTAATAAATTATTCCATCTTTAAGTGCCTTTCTATCTTTATATAAATGATAATATAGACAATTAAAATAAAATGTAAAGCTTTTCCCCAGTTGTACCCCTTTTCGTCAAGTTTAAGTACCCTGGACTCCCACGGTTTGACGTGTGTTTGGCATGAATGCTTCACTTCCCACCGCATCTCATTGTCATTGTGAACCAAGTGAAATGGTGGGTCTGAAGTGGTAGGAAAGATAATGCTCCAGAACAGTTTCAGGAAGAAAGAGACTGGGGGAGGGAGGGAGGGAGGGAGGGGGGGAGGGAGGGAGAGATGTGCATAGTTATATGAAAGTTAAGGTGTAGCAAATAGAAATGTGCTATGAGCAAAACCAGCCCCAACTTCCAGAAAAAAGCATTCAAGGTCTTTGTGGAGTTCAGCAGATAATGGATCGGGTTATGTAGGATACTATCCTGCAAGGTGCAAGGTACTTTGCTTCTCGTCTAGAGAACCAGCTAAGAACAAGTTTCCTCCATCTTTGCTTCAAACTCCCATCTTACCGATTGGAAGCCAGAGCTCCTTGCAGGACCAAGAGTGCTGGGGACTTCTTCTTCAAAGCAATCAATAAAAACACACCGAACTGAGCCAAGAATACAGATTTGGGATGTAGGCAGAGATGCCGGCCAGCTCTCTTGGACAGTGGGCCTCTGCGCCATATATCTGTCCCTGTGAAGGTGTGGTGAGCACACAGTGACCGTTTTTGTTTTGTTTATATGGCAAAAGTCGTCTTCTTGTTTAGGCTTTTCTTTTTCTCTACCCTTTATGACCAAACCAGTGTTTGTCCATGGCTTCGAACACTTCGTGTTGTACATTCAGAAAAAATTCACATTGACTGCAAGAAACATAAAAGTAACTCCCTTCCCTCCCCCCAAAAAATCACCCCTCCCCAAAAGCGTCCAAATAAGATAGGATTATGTTTTCTTCTAAATACTCTTCTGCCATGATCAGAGGTGAATTGGCTAATTTATAGCTTTTCCTTGGAAGGAATCCAGATGAAAGGCCCAGATTGTTCTTCGATTACAAGCTTGCATTGGTTATATATATCTTCTAAGGTTTCTCCTTGGACAATAGCTGTAGGAAAGAAATAGATGTAATTTTTCTTTTTGGTAAAGCTTCTGAATATTTGTATTGCCAGTGATGTATGATAATAGTAGTTCTCCCAAATTCTGGATGCCCAGCCAGACTCCTAGCCTGAGCTGAACATTCTCATGCCTTTCCCACTCTTCTGGGAAATAGAAGCATCACTTCCAAATCAAGTGAGGTACTGTTTTGTCTCTCCTCGGCACTAGATAGGGCCCATCTTGAGTATTGTGTCTAGTTCTGGGCACCACACTTCAAGAAGGATGTAGACAAGCTGGAGGATGAACAGAGGAGGGGCAGTAAGGGTGATCAGGGTTCTGGCATCAAAACCATTGGAGTAGGGATTGAAAAAACTGGGAACATTTAACCTGGAGGAGAGAAGACGGAGTGGAGAGTGGATAGCACTTGAAAGGCTATCAGGCGGAGGAGGGCCAGGATCTCTTCTCCATCATTTGTTTATATTTATTTATTGGGTTGATAAACGGTGCCCGATAGTCCCAGACGGGACTCCCTGGGTGGTGAGCAAACTCTACTGTTGTTGTTGTTGTTGTTGTTATTCGCATATTACATTTCTATGCCCCTCTGTAGTCAAAGCTCTCTGGGCATTTCACAACATTATGGCCACCCATCCAGATTTCAGCCAGGCCCAACCCTGTTTAGCTTCTAAGATTAGGCAGGATCATGCACTTCAGACAATATGGAAGAGTATAGAGCAGTGATGGTGAACCTTTTAGAGCCTGAGTGCCCAAACTGCAATCCAAAACTCATTTATTGCAAAGTGCCAACACTGGAATAAAACCTAAATACTGAGGTTTTAGTTTAGAAAAAAACAACTAAATATGATGCTGCAGATTCAAATATGCCAGGGGGACAGCACAACATCAAAAGGATCTCAGTCTCTTAATTAGAACATCTCTTTGCTAAATCTTAGATATTAAATTTTAATTTTTCATAAGAAAACTCAAAGCTAAAACCTTGTGTTAATAAAAACAAATATATTAAAACTCAAAGCCAGTCCAAGCAAATGTGTATATATCCTTGGCAGCGCACTGACCGGCCATGTGAAAGCTTGGATGAGTCATGGGTAACGAGTCGCAGCTCGTGACATCATCGCCTGGTGCCGCTACTGCTTTCCAAGCATGGGCATGGCCCCTATGCAGGCTGTTATCTGATGCTCGGCTGGTGGGGCGATGCTGGGGTGACTTGGCTCACGTGCCGACAGAGAGGGCTCTGTGTTTCCGCTGCGGCTCGCGTGCCATAGGTTCGCCACCACCGCTAGACAGTGCATGTGTCACCAAGAGTGTAGGACACAGAATGACGGGCCGATGTTCCAGGAAGCCAGATTTCAGCTGGTTGTCAGGAAAATCTTCCTGACTGTTAGAGCAGCACAGCAATGGAACCAATGAGCTAGGGAGGTGGGGGGCTCCCCCACACTGGAGGTTTTCAAGAAACCATCTGGCAGGGATGCTGTAGCATGCTTTGCATTGAGCAGGGGGATGGACTTGATGGCCTTATAAGCCCCTTCCAACTCCACTATTCTGATTCCCCTGCCCCAATGCTCCATTGCCTCGCCTCGCCTTGCCTTCTTAGCCTCGCCTTCTTAGCCTCGCCTTACCTTGCCTTCTTAGCCCTGCCCTGCCCTGCCCTGCTTTCCTTTCTGCACTGTAGCCAACACATTCTGGATAGCCTGCAGCATCTCCGGGGCAATGGTTACCATTTGCACGGAGGGCACAAGCGGATGCAAAACCAGGTGGTGGGTTTGGGGGTCCGACCCCCAGGCAGCTCCAAGGGTTGATCCTTGCTGCTCTGCAGAGATCGGGGGTGCATCCAAAAGTTTCAGAGAGCTCCAGAGTGGTGGCTGGGGGTGCTTAGCAATTGCCCGTTGATTAAAAAGTTGCCCAAAAGTTGCCCAAAAAGACTTTTTTCTGGAGAAAGCAAACTGGAGATTTTTTTAAAAAGTTCTTGCGGAAGATTCTAACTACAAGGGAGAGATGAGTTGTGAGAAATCAAAATGACTCTCAGGAACTGAAATAAAGATGGCACAGGAAGAAAGCACTTTGCTTCCAGGTTCCATTTAAAACAAGAACTAACACACATAGCATAAATAAAATAAAATGATATAAAAGTGAGGAGAGGCAGGGAGCCCGGTGGATACAAAAGATGTGGCCACACTAAGGCCCCATATCAAGGTATTTATTGTTTATTGTATTTTTATCCCACTTTTCCCCATTCTGGACCCCAAGGTGGCTACACATGGTTCCCAGGGGGTCTCCCTTCCAAGCTCAGGCCAGCCCTAAATCTGCTTAGCTTCCACTTGGTGGACGCTTTATGTGTCTTCAGACCATGCTCATAATAGGCGGAAAGGTGTACTGCATCTCACTGGTTTAGCCAAAAGAGGCAACTGGCTGGCCTGATGATACTTCCTTTGGTCCTGTACTTAAAGCAAGCGAAGTTTTTTAAATCCATATTTGTTCTTCTCCACCTTACTCCTTGTTTGGCCTTATATCACAGCAGCTGCCTCTTGAACTTTGGACTTAACGGTGGCTGCCTTTGGATTTCCTCTCCTGCTTGTCTTGGTCTGTGCTTCCCTGTCTCTGGAAAATTGACCCTTGTCAACCGTGGACTAGAGATGAGAAGACTGAGAGCAACTCCAGAAGATCTGGCGGCGTTTCCAGCCCTGCGTGGAGATGCTGGGAATTCGAGACCTTCCACATGGGAAGTCCATTCTATGATCAGATTGGCTCTCATCCTCATTGCCTGGTGGGATATGCTTTTGTTCATCCCCCCCTGCAAAACAGATGACCTTTCCCACCATGCATCACGAAGACAGCTAAACCCTTCCCAAATGCTGCATACCTGTAAAATATTCTCCAAATTCTTGTTCTAATTTCATTGCTCGATCATATGTTTTTTTGGCTTGCTCCTCTGTGAAGCGTTTATTCATTTCCCTAGAAAAATAGTTTGGGGAAAAAAAGAAACAAGTAAGAATGAAACCTCAGTTGGCTTTTCATTAGCCTTTAGTGGCAGCAAAACTCAGATGCAATAAATTGCTATGTTTAGAGGCCCTAATTTAGTCAGGAAACTGTAGCTTCATTTAGAAAATATTGGGCAAAAGAGAACCACAATGAGTCAGGCCTTTTCAGTAGGAACAGTTGTTAGTGGTCACAGAAAGTCATTCTGCACATGCTCTGGGGAACTCTCTTATAAAACCTGAGCACTAAAATATATTCAAATTAAAAATTTTTCATGATACAAATTAGGGACGGATCTCTCCCCTTCTTTACAAGTAAAAATGGGGGAGATCTTTTTTGAGTCTACACCACCAGGGCTTAATTTGTTCTATTAATATTATTATTTTAATTTCTATACTGTCCCACAGTTGAAACTCATTGGGCAGTGTGGAGATGAAATAAATAGGTCGGGGTGCTTTTAGGTTAGGGGCTCCAGATGGGCCAGATGCCCAAGCCCAAAGGCCTCCCCACAACTCCTGGGATGTCATGAATTATGTTTAGAACCTGGTGCTGCTTCAGTACTCACACTTTTCTTGATGTTGCATGCGGTTTTCAAAAAATGTGCACAAAAATGAACACAGGGAAAAGTATACATAAAATGCATACATTTATGAATGTCACTTAGAAGAGTATGTTCTAGGACAGGAGGCTGTTTGCAAAGGAAGAGCGTATATTAGAATTAACTGCAAAGAAGCCTCTATCAGGAGAGGTGTATGTAAAAATATGTGCAGACTTTTTAAAAAGCAAGAAACAGGGTGAAAAAATATTAAGGTTGGAGAAATGAGAAAAAGTGAAACTAAAATGGGCAGATTTGTCCCTTCCTCTGGAGGATGTGGCTTGTCTTCCTGGCACTGGTTAGTTTTAGAAAATCAACCGTGGAGTATGGGCAAGTGAGGCAGACGTACAAAACCCCAACCAAAGCTCTGGATTAAATCACAGAAGCGTGCCAAAATGGACAGTACAGTGTAAGCCACATGTGACGCATGGAGAAAATTATGTGCACGACGATGCATGACGAATGTGCTGAGAAGTAGATGCCAGCACGCATTTGCTTCGGCTGACCTGGCTCTTGGAAAGGAGAATCTGGCTGCTGGGGGAACTGTGCATGTATGAAATGGGTTTTCATGCTACAGAAGTTTGCAAAACAAGGAGAAACATCTACGGCCGACCCAAACATTTCTTACAGGGCTTCTGTGGAATTTCTCTGCAAAGTTCTGCACACAAGACAGACCAGAGGACTACTGTGCTGCCCCACAACAGGGAGAATCATGTGGTACAGCCCTTGCTGGGCTATACTGCCTCTGCTGGTGGAGGTAGCAGAGGCCGGTGGGGACTGAGTGTCTGAATGCTTATATGAAAAACACCCTGGATGTGGACGGAAAACGAGCATGCCAGACACAAGGATAGAACCTTTTCCTAGACAGGCTAGATTTCTAAACTCAGGCTGTTTTTGCTTGTCTTTCTTCCATCTGTGAATACATTTCCACACAGAATTGTTGCGCGTTCAGGATGAAGCGGTACAAGTGAGTTAGGGATGCAGTGTGCAGTTGTACTCTTTGGTAGCACAATGATGAGGCCGCATTAGCACAGAGCACTGACATGTGTGATTATTTTCTCTGGCCGACATGGACACTCCTGCGTTCCTTCCGGGATCAGAAGCACAGATCAGGCGGCAGTGTGAGCACATGTGGCCTGGCTGTTAGCAGGACTGCACATTCACGTGGCTTTTTGCACAGAGCCCACGCACATGTTGTGAAAGAGCTCCAAGGAAGGCAGGATGAGGCCCGGCGAGTGTGACCCATTGCTTGCTTCCCGCGATGGCCACCCACGATGTGCTGCTTCGAGAGGATGGAGCCGCACCTGAAGGTTGGCCCGGCTCCTCCTCTAAGCTTGCCACCTGTGGCTCCCAACACGCCAGGTAAGTGGATGGAAGTCTCTGTGCCACGGCCTGGCCACTATTTCACCTGGACAGAGTAAGGGCTTCCGTGCTCGTCCTGAAGCACTGCCACGCAAGGCAAGATTGCAGCCCTGAAGTGTTGGCCTTGCTCAGCAGTGGGGAAAGGGACCTATGGAGCCGTAGTCTCATGGTTTGGCCAGTGACCAGGGGAGGCCAGTGAGTTCTCTTTCAGTGGGGTTTCTTATCCATGGCAGCTTTTATTCTGAGCTCTGTGGGAGCAATTTGTGGTGCTCTGTGGTAGTGACTGCATATTGGGGCTGGAATTAAGCACCATGGATAGGTGCAGGGGAGAAGAAGCCCCAAGGGTGTGGGAGTCCCCAGCTGCCCCTGAGATCCAGCCTGTGCAGCCGTGCAAATGTGCACCCGTCCATATTCATGCGTATGCAGACAGACTGGGACATCATGCTCAAGGCTGGCATGCAGTCAGCTGGCTGACACTCGGTTTTCAAGCTGCGTTTGGGGAAGGGCTGATCTGGAAGGAGTCTGAGCTTTAGTGGGGTTAATCCTTTTCCATTATGCCAGCATCTCCGTGAAAATCCCTGACCCCAAACTACTATTCATCCAGGAAGGGAAACCTTCCTGGATACCAGTGGTAATTTCCCTCTTGAGCCAAGCAGCAGGACTGGGGGCTGACTGTGAACCACAGGCCTGGTCCTGATTTCCTCCTCCCAGCTTCCCCACCCAAAACACACATGAAATACATAATTTCCAGAGAGCTTGCTATGCAAGTCTGTTGCAGCCAAAAAATAATCAACTGATCAATGAAACAAAGAGACAAAAGACTTCTGGCACCCTAAAGATTAACACACCTTGTCTTTGGCACGCTAGTTTTCTCATGCAGGGTGCTTTTCACAGAAGCATTCGATGCACATGTAAGCTGGCCTTGTCTAGCTTATCAGATGCACTAGATCTTGGGTTCCCCAAGCCGTCATGCACCAGGTTCCTCGCCCCTCCTGATTTTTAAGCCTCTTGCAAAAAGTTGCATTTCTTCTATCCTCCCTGGCTTGCCTTCTGGGAAATGGATACTTTTTTACCGGTCCCCTCCATCACACACGAGTGCCCACAAAACTTTCTCAAAATGCCAAAGGTGCCATTGGTCCCACAAAGTTGGGGACCCCAGAATCAAATCCATAGATGTGTATCGCATGATTCAACCTTCGCAGGTGGAGCAAGGACTCCTGCATTTCTCCAGCTGGGAAATGTAACATGGGGAGGGGCCATCTGCCCTGCTGCCATTGCATGGTGGGCATGTTATGAGTGCAGCCAGCTGGAGACAGGGGTCAGACTAGATGGCCCCAGGAGGGCCCTTCTGACGCACTCTGTTTCTGTGTTTCTATAATTACAGATGCCCAAAGGCAAGGAAGTGTGAACCCAGCGTTATGAAGATACCAGCATCTTGCAACTGAGAGAATTGTATTCTGAGAAGCTTAGAAGGTGTTCCAGGAGACAATACTCACATCAACGGCTCCCACGATTTAGGCTTAATGAAGATAGCAATGGGGTAAAGCTGGGCCGCTTGTAGTCGTTTTATGGCATTTCCCGATACGTCGAGTATACAGTGCTTGCCCTGTTGGAAACAGATCAAGAGGGCTTGATTCCTAGGGTGTTTACTGCATCAAAAAGAGAGAGCTACGTCTTCCAGGACGGGGCGGCCTAGAGAACAATAATCGGTGGCAAAAGACCAGGAAGGCACAATTTCCCTGGAAGTTACTCTCTGTGTGGGCCACTGAACTGAGCCAGTGTGATGTCTCCATGTTCGCACAGCTCACATTCCTTTGCTTGTGGGGCTTCATCAGGAGAACCTCTTGCCCTTGGTCTCGGGACTATGCCCAGATCTGGTCTAACTTAGTCTTCGGACTAGGCTCCACTTCCTCATGCCTCTCGCAATCTTCCATAGCCTCTTGCTACAGGCATGGCAGTGCAAGGGAACTAACTGGAGATGCAGAGGACTCAGCACTGATTAGGGATAGAGGAGGCCATTTTATGCTTCCTTTCCCCCTGATTGCTAGCCATTTGCAGGTTTTGCACCCCCTGCATATTCTAAGAGCTGGAAATGCCTCCTGGTTACTGACAGCAGTGGCTTTATGTTGAAATACACAGATTCGGGCCTTTCTACTGTTGATAGCATTCACCCTGTCCTTCTGATCTCAGCCCGGCTCCTGGACTGAAGGAAGTCTCACAACAACCTGGCAGTCTCTCCTCGGGGTCTGAGACAGCACCCTTCCCAGCCCTACCAGGCGATGCTGGGACAGGACTGGCTGGAGCATGCAGGGACTTGTAGACTTTATGTATAAACTTGCATAGGATTGCACCCTTAATAAGTATATGTTGCTTTGGAACAGGATCCAGCTTTTCGATGACTAAGAGAATAGAACCAGGATAGATACATGGATAAAATGGACAGTAATCAGGCTGAAAGGGGGGCTTTATTTCTGGGGGGATCTTACTGTCTGTCTGCAGGAAATGCTGATGCAGGAATGGAACATATTGTGCATTTTCCTGGCACGGATACTGAGAAGAAGCAGGCAGACCTGGCCTTTGGGCCGTGCACCCCTTCAGCCTGCAGGTGTGTCTGGGTGTGTGCCCGTGAGGAGCACCGGGGGGATTTATTTATTTATTAGAATACTTCTGTACTCGTTACTATATTGAAATCCTTCAGTGGCTCACAATGAATGCAACATGACCATGCGAAAGCAAGCTAAAATAATACATACTGCAAAACATTAAAACATTGCAGTACCATGAACAATAAAGGAGGGGAGTAGCGGAGAAGCCCGGGGAAGATTGTGTGGGAAAATGTGTTTTCAGCAGGGCTTTTTGACTCTCAAAATCAGACCCAAGGTCCATCCAGTCCAGCACTCCGTTCGCAGGTGGTGAAGCAGCTGCCCACAGGGTCCCTCCAGCAGGATGGGTGCAAGACCTTCTCCTGCCCAAGCTTCTCAGCAACTGCTGTGTGCAGGCAGGCCACCTCTGGGGAAGGAGCAAGCATGTAGCCAACAAGGCTATCTGTCCATCCGTCCATCCATCCGTCCGTCCATCCATCCATCCATCATCTCAAACATTTATATCCCATCCTTCCAACAAGCGCTCAGGGCATCATGGAAGGACCTCAGGTTCTAGTGTTAAGGCACAGTGTTCTTTCTCCACATCATGCATTGTTTCTAAACACCTCTATCACGTTCCCCCTCTCTTACTGGCCTTTTTATCCCAGCTAAACTGTTGCAGCTCCTCCACATAGGTAGGCAAATGCTTCAAAGGCTTGCTTACATGTTGCTACCTGGAGACATTTCCCTGGATGCAGATCAACCAATTAAGTCTCTCAGGGGTCAGCTGGGTATACAGAGGGGAACATGAACACTTCCCCTTGTTAAAAAAATCCCTTGCACATGGAATGTAATTGCAGCAAAGGTCTTGGGCCAACCCTCACCCAGATAAGCTTCAGCACGGGTTTTCTGAAAAGAACCACCCTGGTTCTGCTAAAATCCTCAAAACCATCATCACCTGAAGTGCAGTTTAATATGCTGCAATGCAGCGTTAACACAACTGCATTATATCCTCTGTCGCACTTACCCTTTCTGCCACAAATCTCACGGATTGCACGCTGGTTCCATAGAGATTATCATTGTACTGTCCGGCCTCTATGAATTTGTGCTCTTGGATGTCCTTTTCCATTTGTTCTCTCGAGATGACAAAATGGTAATCTCTCCCATCCACTTCATAATCACGCTTTGGCCGAGTTGTATCTTTGGGGAACAACGAAGGAGGGAAACAGAATCAGCTGGTGCTCATTCTCATGTTGCACTGATTCATCACAGAAAGGAGGTATTTGCAAGCGTTGAGGGGCCACTGGGTCCTGGGTGAAATGGCGAACCCAAGGACCAAATGATCAACCCCCCTGGCTTTGCTTCTGGACAGACAACGGAAACGGTGTGATTCTGTAGCAAGGGAAATGGACACAGCACATGTGCAGAGGCACTGTTTCTGCTGGGTGGTTTCAGCCTTGGTGGAGCAGTAAGCTCCACTTTGCACCAAAGGTCCTCTGGGAAGCACCCTGTACCTTCATCAGTAGCAGAATATCAAGATTTTGGGCAGTGACTAAAACTTCCATGGGCAGCCACTGAACCTGGGAGTTTCACATTCCCAGGTCTATATTCAATATGCAGCACAAGCTCCAGAGCTGAGCCACTGAGTATAGCCTGAAGTGCTTGATCCTGCCTAATCTTGGAAGCTAAGCAGACACAGTCCTGGTTAGAATCTGGAAGGGAGACCTGAGTCCTGCACTGAGCAGGGCCTTCTGGGCCTCTTCCAGCTGTGGATTCTATAACTGAAGAAGCAGGAGCATAGAAAACAGCCTAGGGCTGATAGGAGTTGTAGTCCAAGATCCCTGGAAGGCACCAGGTTGGGCACCTGGAAGGCATTTGTTCTGTCCTGCCCGACAACAGTTCTCCATGGAATCATAGAACAGTAGAGTTGAAACAGGCCATGAAGGCCATCAGGTCCAACCCCCTGCTGTTGCGGGACAGCACATTACACCATCCCACTCAGATGGCTGTCCAGTTTCTTTCTGAATGTCTCTAGTGTGGGAGAGCCCCCGACCTCTCCAGGCAGCTGGTTCCACTGTTGTATCACTCTGACAGTGAGGAAGCTTTTCCTGATGTCCAGCCTGAATCTGGGTTGTTGCAACTTGAACTGATTATTCCGCACAATAGTATCAGTGAGAAGAGATCTTAACCTTCCTCTTTGTGACAGCTTTTGAGCTACTTCTAGAGGGATATCATGTCCCCTCTCAGTCTTCTCTTCTCAAGGCTGAACTTGCCCAGTTTTCTCAGTCTCTCTTCATAGGGCAGTTTCCAAACCCTGGGTCATTTTTGTTGCCCTCTGCTGGACCCTTTCTAATTTACCTGCATCTTTCTTTAATCTTGGTGCCCAGAACTGGACACAGTATTCCAGGTGAGGTCTGACCAGTGAGGAGTATAGAGGAACTCCAGGGTTTCAGTCCTTCCTGGACTGAGGATCGATTTTGGGCACTTATTTATTTACTGAAAACTTTTATATACCATCTACTACTGAGGTCTCAGAACAGCCTAACTTCTGTGTTTATTGCAAATGCTCAGCTGCTGAGCTACTCCCGCTTCTTCCAAGCCTCGACTTCTGAGAGAGATGCTGGCATAAAAAAGTTCTGCAAATGTAGCAGCCAAGATGCAAATGCACACTGTAGCAGCTTTAAGCAAAGAAGAGTGAGCAAAGATGCCTCCAAAAATAGAATACTCACGTGGTACACAGGAGCCAAATTTGTCAGGAAATTCAGATATCAAATCATCATTGATCCGATCTTTCATTGGACCGAGGATAATAACTGGTCTGGTGTAATTTACTGAAATGCCAAAAGAAATGATGAAGATGACGAAGGGGTTGACTTTTAGCTCAGCGAGATGACCTAGGTCAACACCTAAAATTTCACTTTCAGCAGCACTGCATGAATTGCACGGATTTGTGGATTTTACAAGTGGGTGGCTAGCTGAAGGGCCAGTGCTGGGGAAGACACTTCCCAAGGGCCCACACACCAGCTCAGGTCCACCATCAGGAGCTCCCTGGAGTTCCCCTTCCACTTCATTGCCACCTGATTATTCACCTCCTTCTGGCTGTGTTCCAGAGCAGAGTGGAGGTGGGGAAGGGTATATGCCTTGCCCACTTCCTCACTGACTCTCTGCCATCAAGCAAGCAAGTGGTACCAATGATGAAGAGGAGCAGCACAAAAAGTTCTGGTGATGGAGGTTATTTCTCCAAGGGTCCCTGAAAACCTAGAGAGCTGGATGGGTCCATTCCACTGAAAACAAAACTGGGCTGAGAACAAGAGAATCAGGTCCTTGAGGATTATCGCCAAGGCTACCCACCAGGAAATTTAACATGGCACAGTGCAGCTGGGATTGACCCACATGATGTCTCTTCTGAATGCCCCCCGAGATTCCTCCACGCTTTCCTTCCTGCATTCAATCAGGCCCAGCCTGAGAGCCAGTAGATGTGCTGGGCACCACCAGCTCAGATGACTAGTAAGAGGGGGTGGTCATTATCCTCATGGGAGTTCCAAGGACATGATCTTGCTGGCTGTTACTGGGAGGAGGAGGCTGAAGCAGCTCCAGCAAGAGAGTCCTTTGGTAGGTAGATTGAGGCACCAAGTTTTGACAGAAAAACGGCTTGCGACTCCCAGCCCGCTCCAGCCAGAAGATGCGGGCCTTTTACCTGTCTAAACTTGCACAGGATTGCGGTTGGTATGTTCTTTCAAATGCCCTTTTGCTGACTGCTGTGTGCTCTTGTCAACAGAGAGACTCGGCTGCATTCATTCTGGCAAAACCTATCCTAAGGAAGCGCATGCCCGAGGCTTGGCCTGCTCGTGCGAAAGAATGAACACAGAACCCGGTGCTGGAAAAAATGGACCACTTCGGACTTGCAGGGGCACCAGATTTTTCAGAATAATCCCCGATTCATGTACCAGCAAGTAGGAAACATGCATGGTAGTGAGAGGGCCAGTTTGGAAGTTTTCATTGAAACTTGCATCTCCTACACGCAGTCTGGAATGGTCCGTTCCAATCTACCCTGTCAAGATTTCATCCCAAGATTTCAAGATGGACCAGATCATGGGCTGGGTCTACACCTTCAACACAATTAGGTGGCAGAAGCCTAAAGTAGAAACAGAGCGGGCTGTATGTGTGCAGAGTACAGCTGGGGCCCCACAAATTTTATTTATAATTAATTAAAAGCTTTTCTATCCCATCTCCTACAAACGTCTTGGGACGGCTTACAATAAATGAGTAGAATGAAACAAACCTTCCAGCATCTGACCATCAATATACTAAACCCCCAGTTAAAATCAATTGAACATTCAAATAGCAGGAAAATAATAAGGTTTAATTTTTAATGCTCTTTGCAAGCAGAAAACAGACACAGTGGACTGAAGGTGAGTTAGAACCTCTCACCCTGCTATGAAGCTTTAATGTGAGTCTTGGCAGCTACCTTTTATCTGGGGGACCATGTACAAATGGCATGCAGTCCACTCTAACCCCCTCATTCAATAATAATAATAATAATAATAATAATAATAATAATAATAATAATAATAATTTTATATACTTTCCAATAGTTGACCTATATGGGAGTTTTCAGACAGTTCAAAAAACAGCACAGTAAAATACAAAAAAAATGCCATAACTGTTCTCAAAACCCCAAACCATTTAAAACAACAAGCAAAGCACAAACGAAGAACAGAATGAATGAGCCCAGCCAGCCTTCCCCAACCTGGTGCCCATGAGCTGTGTCGGCCTGCAGCTCCCGGCCTTTCTGGCCACTGGCCATGCCAGCTGGGAAAGCAGCAGGCTGGAGAGGGCTGGCCTTGGGTCCCTTCTGGCTCATCCAACCTTATTTAGCACTAAGGTGGCTGCTTACTTTCTTGCCTCGTTACAGGTTCGTAGGAGAGAATGCAGTCCTCTTGTCCCCCTGATAAAAGAAGCAGAGAAGAAAAATCAGTGCTGATAAGCAGAACACCCCCAGAGAACTCCCAAGGTCCTCAGTTTTGGTGGGTGTGCAAACAAACCCAGCTCATTCCTAGACACACTCAGAATTCCTACGTTTAAGTTGCCCAGTTATCCCCACTCATAATTCATGAGCTGTCCATTGAATTTACCTTGTTCATCGCTAGCAGCAGGGACAATGAGGAGAAAACAAATGCTCACGGCTTGCCTAGCAGCACCGCTTCAGCAGTGTACCTCCTCAATGCCAATTTTAAAAATGCTCAGCCGTGTCAAGGATCTCGTGCATCTTTGCACCATGATGTGCTTTGCATTGTACCCTCTTTTGCTTGGTGCTTTGATCTGAAGATCAGCACTAGACACGAATGGGAAGGAGGCAATGGGCCGAGACCTGGATCTCTGCTGAACAGCCCCAAAGCAGCGAGGAGGGTATGACCTGAAGGGGGCAGTTCTGCAGCGGGGCAGGGCTGGGGTTCTAGCACAGGAGCTCCATGCAAGCAACTGAAGTTCCTGCAGGTTCAGAGTGATTCTGGATTTGAACTGTGCCTCACTGAAGTCCCGTTTTGTATCCATGTGGAGATGGTTCTGATCAGGGCTTTTTTTGGCATAGAATGCACCGGAACGGTGTTCCGGCACCCTTTTTTGACGGGTTTTTCCAAGTGATTGTGAATCGCCCTGTCGGGCATAGCAGGTCAGCGGCAAAAATCATTAACCTAGTGCCTGTGGGCGGCTTGTGTGTCAGCGCTGATTGTGAGGGTGCTGCTCGGCTTGGGACGCTGCTCGGCTTGGGATCGGTCGTGTGGTCGCGCGCTGAGTGCTTACTGCCGGGGAGACCATTATGTTTGTGTGTGTGTGGAGTGACTGGCTACATGCAAAAGGTAAATAAGTTCTTTATTTCAAAAAAAGTTGGTGAATTGAAAATCTTTTTTAGTGTAAACGTGTGACCCCAAGAGGGTCACACGTTCTGGCACTTTTTTTTTTTTTTACAAAAAAAGCACTGATGCTGAAAACTGGTGTTGCTCAGAGGCCATGGAGACATTGGTAGGGTCACTGGTCAGGGAGATTCAGGACAGAACGGAGGAAGCTGCTTGGACTGTTGCGATGCTTTCCACATTGGGCTACCTTGGAAGATGGTCCTGAGGCGTCAATTGGTCCAGAAGAGGGCAGTGAGGACTGGCAGGTACGAACATATAATGCCAATCGTCTGCCAACTTCATTGGTTATCAGTTGAAATCTGGCCCAATTCAAAATGTTGACAGCTTGGGGCCAGTCTATCTAAAGAAGCACCTTTTCCCATACATGCCTACCCAGAACCTAAGATATACGTCCACGGTCCTTCTCAGGGAATCCCCTTTCAAGGAAACAAGGAGGCTGTCTATGAGGAGAAGGGCCTTTTCAGTAGCGGCACCCTGACTTTGGAACCAGCTCCTCAAAGAGGTTTGCCTGACACCTTCTTTATATTCACCCAACATTTTAATTGCTAAGATAATATTAAAAGTGTTTATGACTTTAACTACCTCCTTTGCTATTGTGCCTTTTAATTTTATTCTGCTGCTAAGAATGGTGGCTTTGTGTGGTTTTACTGCAGGTTTTTCTGTGTTGGGTCTTTATTGATGTACTATATTTGTTCATTTTATTATGCTTTTATTGCATATTGTTGTTCTTATATATGATATTCTGTAATGGGTGGGATAGGAATCAAGCATGCGGGTTGTGGGAGGCAGCTGGTAGGCCAGTGGTTCAGCATGGTGTTTCTTATGTTCTTAGCACCTTAAACTTGGGTTCAATATGTGGCCCTAAACTAAAGCACTATTCTGGTATCTATGACATGGGGATAGCTGTCAGCATTAGGCATATTCCCTGGCAACACACACCAACCACAGAATTTGCCTACTTTTTAGAACATTCCAACTTTTGTTTTGTTTTAAGCAGGTTTCTAGATCTCATGATTGCAAAGATGTGTTTGATGTGTAGAACATACTTGGTGGAACCAGATGCTTTGCTGCATGAAATTTTCAGTGATGAGACAGGAGAGATCAATTTTCTCACCCCACAGTGCACAGAAATCATTCAGTTATGCAAATGAATATAAACTATGCAATAAATTATGTTAAATACACAGAACACTGCAAATATGTTTAGTTTATATGGGCAGATGACTTCAGCTTTCATTGGTTCAAAGTTTGGATTTTGTTGAGTGCAAACATTACACTACCTAGCATTGAGTAGCAAAACAACTTTGGCCAGGATGCTGTTATGGAGATTAAAATATAAATAAAATTAAACTAAACTGGGGAAACTGCGGAGTGGGTAAAATAGTCCTCAGACTTCCAGAGGTTGTCCATGCTGGTTTTAAAACAAGGCAAATCAGCACTTATTTCCAGGCACAATGCCAAATTTCAGCAGCAATTTTTTGGACCACAGTTCTTTTTGCAATTGTGCCACCAAAGTTTGGTGGCAAATTCAGTGGTGGCTTCAAAACCAGGCCAAAACCATGCAGCCCCTAAGTCATGGTTTTCTGACCCTTGATGGATAGGGGCCATTTGAAATGTGTTACTGAGATGTTCTGAATTATCAGCAGCAGCCAAATTCAAATGAAATTTAAACGAATGTAAACAATTATGGAGACTCAGTACTGAATCAACTTACATTTGTAAGGAAATTTGCAGGTGGGGAAATTCTCAGAATCATCAGGAACATCAGAATTCGGAAACGTGCACACAGAAAAGGTGCATTTTCAGCAATATGGCCGTTTGATGCGGGTTGTTTGTTTTTATTTAAAGAGGCATGTCCCTTCCATACACATGCACAAGAAAAAAAATAAACTCCCGCTTCATTGCTGTCTATTTAGAACAATTGGACAATTATGTCCAATTGAGCAATTAGGCGAAACAGATGCGGGAACGAATGAGCAATTGATGTTAATTGCTTTATAAATTTAACTGAATGCCATTTACTCGAGGAAGTGTGTGAGTGTATAAGTGTAATGGCCCAATATTGCTACTTACAGTCCAGTGACACTGATAATCTAGGCCAGTGGTGGCGAACCTGTGGCACGTGAGCCCCAGTGGGCACGCAGAGCCCCGTCTGTTGGCACGCGAGCCAAGTTGCCCCAGCATCGCCCCAGCAGCCGAACATCAGTGCACATAGGGGCCATGCGCATGCTCGGAAAGAGTGACGGCGCCAGGCGACGAGGTCACTCATTAGCCGCGCCGCGCCGCGAGAGGCAGCATCGAACAGGTGGCCAGAGGCAGGCACAGCCGCCGCAGGGGGTGCGCCAGGCAGGGAGCGGGCGAGCAGCGGGCGGGGGTGCCGAGCGCTGGGGGTGGCGCCCTCCTCCTGCCTCCTCCTCCTCCTCCTGCTGCTGGACCTGCCAACCGTGCGCCCGCCTGCCTGTGCTCCTGCTCGTGGGCCAGGCTCCCTCATCAGTGGCCACGGGGCAGGGGGAAGCTGGGCGAAGGGAGAGAGCGATGGGGTCGAGGTGGCGGAGCAGTGGCAGAGCTAGAGTGAGGAGGAGGAGAGAGGGCGCCCGGGATCCATCGATATGCCGCTTCCCGGGGAGGGAGGCCAAAACGAGGAAAAGTGGAGGCTGGAACTGCTGCGAAGCGAGAGGGGTGGGCACGTGGCGGGGATCCCCTTTCCCACCCGATTCCATTTGCCAAGGCTTGGCAGCGCTGTGGGGCACCTCGAGGAAGATCCCAATGGAAGCCTGGAAGGGATCAGAGAGAGCCTCTCCTCACCTTTAGTTTAGGTCTCTCCCCCCCCCATTCCGCCCCTCCGGTAAACCTTCAAGCACTGCCAAATCTCCTGTGGCATTCCCGGTGGCTGGTTTGGGGGTGAGGAGGGAGGGAGGGAGGGAGGCAGGGAGGGAGGGTGCCCGGGCACAAGCAAGCCCCGTGTCCCCCGACCTGGGGGTGCTGAACGTGAACAGGACTCCCTCTCTCTGTTATTGTGTTTTTCTTTAAGACAATTATGTTAATGCATGAGTTGTTTTTTTTCGAAACGAAAACCTCAGTATTCAGGTTTTATTGCGGTGTTGGCACTTTGTGATAAATAAGTTCTGGGTTCTGGGTTGCAGTTTGGGCACTCGGTCTCTGAAAGGTTCACGTAACTGATCTAGACATTTGGGATGTGATATATCTATATTGGAATATTTTCTCTGACCAACTGAGTTTTCCAAATTAAAAACTTATGAGAGGAGCTGAGCCTGAGACCTTTTGAGTCCTCTGATGGAGGTGTGGTCTTAGCCAGGTGAGCTACATGGCCCAGGAGGCCCCTTCTGACTTGTTCTTTCTATGTTTCTGCACCCCTGGCCTTATCTGACCAAAATTGGTCCATAAATGGAGAAAACCCTTTGCCTTGGCCTGTGCCTCATCCCTGGCATCTTGAGAAATACCTCTGCTGGAAACCCTGGAGAGTCACTCCAGGACAATGTACACAGAGCTACACAGACCAATTCCTGATTTTGTCTGAGGAAGCTTCCCAAATCGTCCAACTCTATACCCATGGATTCTCCTACTAAAGCATCCCTGATACTGGAGCCCTGCAGATATGATGGAGTGCAACTTCGGAAACATTGCTGGGCATTGTGGGAGTTGTAGTCCAACACATCTGGGGAGTATCAGCTTGGGGAACACTGTTCTAAACTGACAGCTGTCCTCCATACCCTTTTTGGGTGCATGTGTTTTAACTTAGAAGGGTGAGTTAGCAGGTCTTTTGCTCAGCTAGGCCCCAGTCCTAGTGAAGGGGGAGAACTCCCCCTGCACATCGAAGGTGCCAGAGGTCTGAAGGACACAATCATATGCCCGAAAAGTAATACTGTGACTTACACTGAACACCACAAAAGGTGCATTACGCTGATATTATAGATAAAACGAGAATTTATTTTTCAGGCGTTAAGTTAAAAAAAAAGAAAATAAAACATGCTGGGGCTAGTAAGTTTAAAAATTATTGTGTTGGTGTTGGTGCAGAATTTAAAATAAGGGACTGCTCATCTTTCAGTTGTTTGGCTGGTCATAACTTGGGAGTTGTGAAAAGTGCACAGTGCAGCTGCCAATGGAAGATTTCGATTCTCATCTTAACAGGAAGAGGGAGCTTGTGTCCCCTGGAAGTTTTGGCCTACAACTCCCATCAGCCTAACCAGCATAGTCAGTGGGGAGAGAGGATGGGAAGTGTAAGCAGAAATACCTGATGGCTCAAACCACAGGTTTTAAACCTTCGTGATGTAGTACTTAACATGTTTTTTAAAAAAGAATCATAGGGAAGCCTCCATCGCCATAGCCCAGGAAAATAGAAGCGGCAGTGGATGGAGACAAGACACCTCCGGAGGGCACCAGATTAAACAGGCATGCTGAGCCACGGAGGAGGACTTTGCCATGGGCCTTCCAGAACCTGAAGGCAGCTCTCCATATAGAAAATGTGTGTGATTAATTTAGAGATGGAGCAGAGTTTTGCTTCAGTTAGTTTCTGACAAGGGTTTACGAGAAAGAAATCACAAGTATCTTCCTGTTCAGGTCAGGAAAAATTAAGATACAATTCAATCATTTAAGATTCCATTCCAGATTTTAAGGATTTACATTTGGGGATTTAAATTCTTGTTTAGAATAATTTAAATGTGGGTAAGGTGGAGACTTATGAATTACCCCCAGACAGAGGACAAAAGAGGGCCCGGATTTTCATAGATTTTGCTTATGCTGATATATATGCATAGATGCTAATTTTGAAAGGACTGCTGTAATTTAAATGGAAATACTATACATTGCTCCATAATGCAGAAGACTGTGAGCAGGTGCCTGTTGTCCAGGTGTTAGTTCTTAAGCAACTGTTCTTAGGTTCTTTATCCTTCAGCAAGACTCTTTAAACCCTGTCTTAAGCAGGACAGCTGTTCCAATAAAGGATACCTTCAAATCGAGGAAATGGCCATGCTACACTGGCACGGTCATCCATTCAGGCCCAAACCTGGCTTTAAAGTCTTTTGCATGCATCCATGTTTTAGCTGTTGAACTAGGTTTGCCGTGTCTTTTTTTCCTGCCTTGCTCCTCAACTTTAATCGCTATATCGTAGGCAGCTACAGCATTATCCTCTCCATGTTGAAAATAGCTCTACTTAAGGCACAATTTAATGTATGTTTAGGCAGGAAAAAGGGTCCTTCAGTGCTGCCGGCAGAAGCATTATTCTATCTAAACAAGCACGGCATTATGTCCTAGTTGAGTCTGGCTGGCACAAATAGCTGCAAATCTGTTTTTGTTTGATATAAGAATTCATCCAAATTCAAAAACTTCAATATGTTTGGAAGAGAAAGAACTTGAGATTCAAAAAGTTTGAATGCAGAAAAAAAAAGCCCAGAGAACCATAGCAATTGAATTTTTCTCAAGCTTCTAGCCACTACTTTCTGAGTAAACTTATGTCATTTCAAATGAGATAAATGAAACCTATCAAGAACATCTTGTTGAGCTGAAAGAAAGTAGTTTATTACCATTATGGCTATTAACAAAGGGTATCAAAAGCCTGTAGCCATGAGGAGCAAAACCCATGGTTACTTCAGCACAAGCAGTAACAAGTGTTTCTTCCATGCCTGGTGTGCACGCAGATCCCCTCATGCGCAGACACACACTCCACAAATGGCTTGAGAATGCTCTACAAACATTCGCTAACCTAATGCAGAAGCAAGTTTTCTCCATCAGTTTTGACAGAATTTTTAAAAGGATGTTAAGGATCTGTTCCAGTCCATGAATGCCTTGCTTCTAATTGATGGACCACCAATGATTACCATGATCTCAAAGGAGGTAATTTTGGAGGTTATCCAGAGGAGACAGGGGGCTCCAGTGACAGCAGGGCTCTAGCTCCACTAGTTCGGGCTAGTGTTCAGCACCGCGGACAGCTCCCTAGAAGTCAGCATTAAATCCAGTCTGGATGAATAGGCCTGGGGTGAGTTCCAATGGAGCAAAGCCAGGGAATCCAGGTTCCATTTGGATGCCAGGAAGTACTTCCTGACAGTTAGGATCCCGAGGGTGTGGAATGGGCTTCCACGGGAGGAGGTTGAGGCCCCATCGGTGCGGGTGTTCAAGGATAGGCTGGACTTGCACATGGTGGGCATGTCGTGAGTGGAGCTGGCTGGAGTCGGGGGTCAGACTAGATGGCCCGGGAGACCCCTTCTGACTCGCTCTGTTTCTATTTTTCTAATCCTCCCCACCAACACTGGAACAATCAGCCTCTACTGGTACCTGCCTACCCTGGCTGTGTCTCTGGCACCTCCAGTCCAATGGGCAGCTAGGAGGTGATGGGCCACGTCTCTTCCTGAGTACTGGCCAGCTGCTACCATTGTACTTGGGATACCTGAGCTAGCTGAATTTGGCTGTCTAGAAAGGGCAGTCACTTGTTAGTAGTGTAGTCATGGTAGATATTATTATCTACATCACTGCCATCATCTCAGAGAGGTGACTGTAGGTTTTTCAGCACTTCTCTCCTTTTGGTTCTAGACAAATCATGCCCCCTCCTCTAACTTGCTAAGGGAGCTGCCACTCTAACTGAAGTACTATATTGAGGACTAGCGAGATGGGAGGGCAGTTGTCATCATGTCCTGTTTGTAACCTGCTCAGAAGTTTATGCATGATCAGTCACTCATGGAAACCAACTGCTGGATTAAATTAAGCCCTTGGTTTGATCCAGCAGAGTACTTATTTTAATGACCCGCTTCCTTGAAAAAAAAGATGCTTGGAACCTGCTAAGTAGGAAATGCTTTTTCAAAGGAGGCCTAGCCTGTTTTACAACTATATTCTGCTTTAAGATTTGATTAGCATTTGTAGCCGGTTATACATCAAGCCATTTGCACCAATTGCTCTCTGTGTGTGCACATTTGAAAAGCAAAGAGAGGAAAAGGAAAGCAAAGTCATAACAGCCAAGCCAAAGTAAAAGAGACCCAAAGAAAAAAGCTGCAACTTACTGTTGCTACTTTCGCTGTCGCTGGCATGAGAAGAAACATGTTCTGCAAGAACAGGACAGCAAATTAAAGGACATAACCAAGCACCAGAATGTCAGGCAACCCCCCCTCCCCAATTCGTGCAAAAGGTAGAGCGCTGGACAGGAGGCAGGGAGGAAGGTCAGAAAGCAGTGCAGAATAGAATCCTGAGAATGCCAAATCATCGACAAAGGGCCGGAGCATTATCACTTGTGGATATCTTGAGCAGGATCTGTGCGCTAGGTGCGAATCATATTTCTACGAAAGTGGCATCTGAAGGAAATTTTCACGCATGGCCACATGGGAACCCTATTTCCTGCACCCAGGAATTGTTCATTCTGGGTTTTTGGGACCCACCATCTGCAGGCTATTGCTCATTATGCAGGAATTGCTAGGAGCAAAGGGGCTGCCATCTGCAAAACCTGCACCTCCTTTTTGTCTTTAGAAAAGCAGATTTTGGAAGGTGCATCTGAGTAGCAGTGATGAAGAGGAAGGAGCATGTCATTCTTTACCACCATTAACGGGGAGAAAGAATTTTACAGGGACTGTTTTGGAGCAGGCATCCTGCAGACAAGCTGAAACTCTTATCAGCCCCAGCAAATATGGCCTGCCAGGGGTTTCTCCCCTGCAGTCAGCACAAGAGGCCAAACCTTTACGGTAGGGACTGAGATGGTGTCGCATGGACAAAATGCTCAGAGGTTCTGAAAGGGCCCACTATTTGGCCAATGCTTTCTGAATGTCCAGGTGCTGGATAAAGCATTAATGTATCGATCTGGGAATCTTATGAAGCTTGCTGTCACAGGGTGACTGCGACTAGCTGAGATGGCTTTGCAAGGGAATTAATGAGGGGCGGGGGAGGAATCTGTCAGTCCTGACTAGTCCTGACATCCTATGACATGGTGGCTTTATGAGTCTCCATGTTGAGAGGCATCATGCCAGTAAATGTTGCAGGGAAACAGCAACAAGAAGAAGTCTAGGTAGTCTTTAAGCTATGACCATGGGCTTCCTGGAAGCATCTGGTGGGACTTTGTGGGATCCAGGAGGAGAAATGTGGTGGACCGTTGGTTTGGTCCAGCCAGATGCTTCTCACAAGTACACAGTAGACATGACCAGAGTCAAACTCAGACCAACCTAAATATGCATTGTAACATATCCACGTGTCCTTACCATCTCAGGGTAATGACTGAAAGACCTCGGTCTTGTAACCAATTAACTTTAATTGTGAATCATTCTTACAAATTGAATTCTAGACGTCTCCTTCCAGTGTCTGGGCTGGCAATTGGCATGCCAAATGAATTCATTCTGCTTTGTCGGTGAACGTGCAGATGGCTTTTTTTCCCTCAAAATGATATTTATTGTCACATTGACGAAAACAGTTTATCCTGTGAAAATATGCAAGTAGAGGGAAGCCAGTGGCTTGCCCTAGCCCTGAGGAATTTGGACACGGGCATTGGGTTTAAGTGGTAAACCACAAGCTGGCTATTGTCTGACGCGTTCTCTTCTGTGCCGTGTCTGGCTCAGCTGTATGGACAGGGATGGTGGCTCCTGGCTCAGCTAGGAGCAGGTGAAGCTGCCTTACACTGAACGGCTAGCCTGGGGCCTTCCAGTCACCAACATACCCGCAGACACCTGGATTGGCAGATGCAGTCTTCTAGCACCTTCTTTATTTGAGTTCACAAGAGTATTTTTTGTTTCACTTGGAAACAGAGACCTCTCCTCTGCCTTGTATTTCTTGGACAAGTTTTTCATTGCATTCTCAACAGTTGGCTTCCCAGTAAGTTGCTGCTTTCGGACTGACCACGTGTGTCATGGCAGCCAATGTGTGAGGATGTCTATGGCACTCTTTCAAAATGCCAGGGGGCCACCCACTGAAAGGGCCGGAGACCCTTGTGGTTGTTCGTCTTCTCATGCCCAGTCAAGTCAACGGCAGGTATGGGGAACCTTTGGCCCTCCAAATGTTGCATTACAACTCCCACCTTCTCTGACTTTTGAGCAGGATATGGGGTCCCCATCCCTGATCTAGGGACAGGTGTCTTCCCTAACCCTGCTAGTCAATGTCATTCTTTTCTTTTAGGTCAAGATGTTTGGGGCAGGAATGTGTGGCTTGGCTCCCTATCATGCTGTAATGGGAAGAGCAGGAATGGCCCCACGATGCTCTTCTGGGTGAGTTCCTCCTGCAGTGTTGGACTCACAGCAGTTGTCCTGGCCAGGCCTACCCTGCCATTGGCCCTGCTTTGTCCAATCCAGCAGGCGATGTCTTATGGATTCAGGGCAAAGTGTTGCAGCTGGACGGTCCATTCTTGGGTTGGGTTGGACTGTTGTTGTACAGTGGAACATGGGAGGCTTTGCATAATCCATGGGAGCTACATTTCTAGATGGCTACAGGAGGAAGCCTTCACAAACACACACCCACACACCAGAAAGCATTTCCATTAAGGGGAAAAACTGTGAAGAACCTGTGAGTATTGGGTTTGGCTTGGATCGCACACACTTGCTTTGTTTAGAGAGTTACTTCTACTTTCTTGTCTACATTCAGTGTTTTCCATTGAGGAGAAATCCAGTACTGAGCAACTGAACCTCTCAGTTCCACAAGAGATAATGCACCCACCCTTCTAAAGGAGGCTGGGAAAGTCAACCATCAGGTGAGATAACTAATGCTCAGCAAGGCAGCATGCTCAAATAGCTGCACGAGATTCTGTGCAATGACATACATTCCTGCAACAAAAAGCTCATTCACGGCAATTGATGATGTAGCAGCAACAATGGTGTATGTTTTGTTTTGCCTGTATTAGCCTGTGACTAAGGAGAAGAATCAGCAAACTCTGAAGAAAGCAAACTGCAATTATGCATATTAAGAAGGTCATTGCTAGGCAACAGTGAGGCGGCAATAAGTACAAAATACCAATATAGTTAATGAAAGAGGCACAACTGGCAAGGGATGTATTGATACTATATAGATTTCTCTTGATTTCCAAATAATAATCAGTTTGAGGTGGCTTTGCCTAGGATGCCTCATCTGGAAATTATTATTCCCTCTATTTGTGAAATGCAGGGAGCAAGGGCCGATCCTTACGATGCACCATCCACGCTCAGGGCCAAGGTATCAACAGCTTTGGGGGAACCGTAATATATAAGGCAGCAAAAATGTTCTTTGGAAAAAGTCCTGAGGAGGGAGGGCTCCGACACAGCACAATGATAACTGGATATTTGACACAGAATATGAAGCATTCTGTTGGGAGTGGGGGCAATGGAATGGAGCTTCTTGAAGGAGGGCACACCTGGGTGGCTGGCTGGTGGCTGGAGCCCTGTACAGGAGCTCAAAAGGAATTCCTGTGCTCTGGGCCAAAATATGAATTGATCCACGTGGGCACAGGCAAAACCATTGTTAGGAATGAAGGAGGCAGTTGTTCTTGGCACGTCTCTGGGCCATGGTGACCCAGGCGCTTTGGCTGAGGAGGAAGGCTGGGAAGGGACACAGACACGGAGACGACGGCAGAAGAGCGTCCGTCAAGGCCGCAGTCTCCGGGTGTTCAGGTAGACCCTGAGATCTGCCAGCGTCTGCAAATGCTGGGAGGGGGCAGGGATGGGAGCCCAGGAGCCAGGCAAGCCTGGTAGGATCCTTGACCCCATGACACGGCGTCGGGGAGAAGGGCTATCCAGCTAGAGGGGCTAAGGGGCTTGCCCTGCAGAAGGGCATTCCCAGGGGATGGGGTCCAGGGGCACCCAAAAGGGGGGTTCTCAGAAGTAGTTTCTCATTGGGGTTCAGCGCACTGCTCTGTGTATGCTCAGAGCCTCTTTCTTTGCTGACTTTGCTGGATGCGTATTGGAAATAAAGTATTTTTGCCAAAGAAAGGTCTGTCGTTTGAAAAGACAGAAGGGGAAACCTAGCTCTTGACACCCACCAGCCGTGCCTGGTTTCAGACATGCTTGGCCCCTGCATTGTGGTTTTCAAACTTTGCCACGTTTCCTCATGGAACTTGCTTAGCATGGAGCCCCTGAACCTCTGCCATGGAATCCCAAAATGTTTCAGCAAATACTGGGGCCTGTTCCAAAGTAGCAGATTCATTCAGATTTGAAGATCAGGGCCCTGTCCTTTGTGAACTAAAAGTCAATTCTAGAAGACAAAATCTAACATTTCTGTATGGGAACACTTGGCAGTGGAAACAGAAGATCCGTCCTGGCAGGAAAGTTTGGCTGCCAGGACGGATCTCGGAACCCACAAAAAGCTTCCGAGGATCTCCACACTTCTGTCCAATTGGTGGTCTGAGAACCAGTGATCTGGAGGAAGAAAATGAGTAATTTATGGACTGATTCAGGGGAAAAATGTTCTTCAGGACCAAGCAGTTGTAGAAAGATCATTTACTTATTATATATTTGTTTTCTTTTGCAAGGCAGCAAACATGCTTATCTTCCACTGTTTTACAATGTTGTGGGGTAGGAGAGGCTGAGAATCAGACTGGTCCAAAGACACTCAGGGAGCTTCAGGGAAATAATTGGGAAATGGAACCAGAGTCCCACTTCAACCATCACTTTAACCATGGTGCCACCCTGAAAAGTTCCACAGAATATCGAATTTTGTCTCACCAGCCATAATTTCATCTGACTTTGTAACCTCTTCCCTGTTTGTTTTGTTGGGCTGTATCCAGTTATGTCCAAATGTGGAGATTTTCTTTGGAACACACCTAAGACACAACTGGATGTCTTGGCTCACTGAAGCTGAAGTGCATCAAAATCAGTCAGGAATTATCATCTTTTTGAAATGTCAGAGGTCCCCTGGCTTCTTCCATTAGGAGCAAAGTGCTAAGCTACAATCTGACAACAGACACCAAATGCATAAAAAGCAGTGGGAGAGGAGGAAAGAATGCGGTGAGTACAGAAGCAAAAGTATAAAATTATGTTGGACTTGATGTAATCTAGGCAAATCAAGCCAAAGGCCACCTTGGAACTGCTTTCCAAGCACTGATGCAAGTCTAAGTAGGCAGTTTTCAAGCTTTCTAAGTTCTGCGGCCCATCTTCCACGAAGATGTGCCGAGCAAGAGCTTCGCCAAGACTGCTGGCACAAGTTTTCCGGTTCATGTGGGCCATGGCTGGTCCAGTTGTCCTTCACCATGATCTCAGCAAGGGCCAAGGAAGTGCCTTAGAACATGCATGGCATTCCCTTGTGTCAGCACATTGCAAGAGAGGATGGGAACGGCGGCCGAGCCAAGAGCTGGTATGACCATCTGCGGGCTCTTGCCCATTATCCCAGAGAGAGCAGCAGGAGCAGCCATTTCTTCTTCTTGCTCATTTACTTCTCCTCTCCCTCAGCAGCGTGGCACAGAGGAGCTGGGTTCTCATGACTACTTTTCACCCATTCAGTACCATTGCTTTTTACCACATCTGGCCAGGAGTTGGCACCGATGGACCCTCCCAAAGTGCTGGAGCCATAGCAGCCAACCAGTAGTGCTAGGGTGGCCCCTTGTGAGTCACTCCAAAAGAGGACAGCAAGGGCACTCCGTCTGCATAAAATCAGCATTTGCTCCTTTAGATGTAGTGAAGCAAATTTAGAGATAAGGTAAAAAGAAATGCAGCACATCTTGCCATGGTTCCGTAGACTGACCAGGTGACCTCTGTGCCTTGTTCACTCTGCTGTCCAGGTGCTGCTAATGGGCAACTTCACGGCCCATCTTTTTCTTCTGATCTTTCTTTATCTTAAAATCAGACTTGGACTAGCCCACCTTTCAAATAGAGGGTTGTCTTCTATAGAATAGGACAGATGGCCACTTTAGGTTATGTTGTCCCTTATATAAGCCATGTACAGGCCAACTTTTTAGCAGCTTCTCCATCATTAGCACCCTTTAGTTGAGGATCACTGGAGAAACTTGTCAAGAAATCTAAGGTTCCTCAAAACAGCTTAAAAACCACTGGTATAAAAATAAACAGAAGTCATGAAAGGATCAAGAATGCATTATTAGGAAACAAAAGTGTTATTTACAGAATTAGACATATCCATTTCATATGCTGTATGCTATTAATACCATCATGCAGAACATAAAGAAATGAAAACTGTTTTTTCCAAGTGCATTCAAAGCTGGGGGAACAAAATTAAAATCTAATCTTGTGCATGCTAGGGATGGAAGGTCCCGGGAAAGGAACAAAAGCAAATAAAAACCAAACCAAACAAATCTATTTTCAAGAAAGAAAGAAAGAAAGAAAGAAAGAAAGAAAGAAAGGTAGGTAGGTTACAGTGACCATTCCTGGGAACTTACTCAGAGTCTTTGTTCCATAACCGTCGTCACCTAATCCGGGGAAGTCCTGCACGGGAGTCCCCAGAGAGAGCAATGAAAGAAAAGAACAGCCGCAGAAGACGAAGGAAGAAGTCAGTGGATTGGAAATGGATGCTCTACCATGACTGACCATGTAGATCACACAGTCTGGATTCCAGGTCTCTTTGCAAACAACTTTAGCCCCTCCAGTCCAAAGGCCACATGGACACCCATAAATCAGGCAAACTATTTTGGTTAAAGTGAGAAAGCACATGCAGTCTTCAGAAAGCTTTAGAAAGCGGCCCGAGTGAGGATACCTCGACTAGAAAACAAGGTGGCAGTTAGGAAGAGAGCTGGGAAGTGGTGTCCAAAGCCACACGTGACAACCTTGGAACGGCATCTGCTTTCGGCCATCATGTTGGCTGGCCTGGGCTAGAAGCAATTCATGAACACAGTTGCCTTTTTTTAAGGTTGTGCACATGTGATGGTTTGATGGGTATTCATAATCCTGTTACAAGTATTTAGCAGAATAAAAGAATAACCAGCACAAATTAGACACTATTTTATGCTACCCACGGACTCACCATTAGCACAATGGGAAGCTAGGAGTTCCTAAGGGAACCGATAATGAGCAGAAACTCTGGTATCCGGAACCATGTAGGGCAGTGGAGCCCCTGCTCTCATTTTTGCTGGTTTCCAGGCTTGCTGTAGGCACGGGCAGTGCCAGTTCCCCTGGTCCTAATGGTGGGTGGGATCAGCACAGAGGGTTAAGAAGAGCAGCTGCAGGACTGAGCGTCGCCCACAAGCTTAAATCAGCCTGGCTTCGTGCGTGAGTGAGAGTTGGAAGTTAAACATATCGGAGAGACATGTTTCCAAACATGCTGAAAATTCTGCCCCATTTTTATCCTTCGCTAGGGACACTGGGCCTTTTATTTAATTATTTCAATAAAGGCCGCGCCCGCTGGCACCAGAACAGCAGAGTGAGCAAAACGGTAGCGATGGGAGTTTGTGTGGCTTAACCCCGAGATGCCTTCTCTTCCACTGCCGTGCCTTTAATCCGAATCTCCCTGCTTATTGACATGGCACTGGGAGCTCCTGCCACACCATTCTGCCGGCTCTGGATTTTCACGCCTGCCGAATCAGTGCAATGGGTGGATCGCATCCACGTGTCATTTTAGCTGCTAGAACAAGCGTGTGGAACTTCTTTCAGCACGAAGGCTGATTGCCCTTTTGCAGTGGGGAGGGCAGGTCCAAAGGCCAAAGGAGGTGGGGGACAAAGGCCTGGGGAGAGGGGCAAACCCCAAATATAGAAACATATTTAAAGCGTCCGTAGATGCTAAGTCAGAGGGATGGAACATGATCTTCTAGAATGTATTTTAATTTTATGTATTCTTGTATTTTAATTTTATGTATTTTAATTTTATGTATTCTTGTATTTTAATTTTATGTATTTTAATTTTATGTATTCTTGTATTTTAATTTTATGTTGTGAGCTGCCCCGAGGCATTGGCGAAGGGGGCGGCATAGAAATGTTTTAATAAATAAATAAAATAAAATGAGGAAAACAACTGCAAAGCCTGAGGAAGTGCAAACTGGATGGGGCCAGCCCAGGTGTGCGCAGCCCTCTGGGAAATGTTGAAAAGTCAGACAGGTGAACCAGCTTCGGCAGCTGGGTCTGAGGTTCTGGAAAGTGACCTGCAGTCTCTCAACTTCAGGGAATCATAGAATATTAGAGCTGGAAGGGGCCATGAAGGCCATCGAGTCCAAGCCCCTGCTGTTGCAGGAGACCAAGTCACACCATCCCACTCAGATGGCTGTCCAGTTTCTCCTTGAATGTCTCCAGTGTGGGAGAGCCCACCGCCTCTCCAGGCAGCTGGTTCCACTGACAATGAGGAACCTTTTTCTGATGCCCAGCCTGAATCTAGGTTGCCACAACTTGAACTGGTTATTCCGTGTCCTGCACTCTGGCATCAGCAAGAAGAGATCTTGACCTTCCTCTTTCTGACAGCCTTTGAGGTAGTTATAGAGGGATATCAAGGGTCTTCCAACTTCATAGCTTCAACTGTCCACGTGAGAAAAGAATGACAGCGATAGAGTTTTGGTTGGAAACTTATTAGCAGAATCAACGGTGAGTGACCAACTATCCATGAGAAGCCAAACAAGTGATCACAACCATCAAAATTACGTTTGGATATCAGCGTCTTTCTCCTTAACCAAAATTTTAATTGGGTCCATTTCAGCAACAGTTAGTGGGGCTGGTGTATACTTAAAAAACAGCACTGAGATTTCTTAAATCAGCAATTACAGTTTTCGTTTCAGTCCCAAGGAATCCAGACTGCCATCATACATTGATCACAGTAGTAATGCCTCACTTGTCCTGCCTCTGATTTTTGTTTGCCTAGGTGTGCGTGTGCGTGTGTGTGGGGGAGTCATCCGTCTCACGCATGTCACTCATGTGTTGCACCAGGGCATCATCTCTAAGCATTTACTTACGTTCTGGGTCACTCGTGTCCTGCTCACTCAGCTCCTTGTTCTTGTAGAAGGGGAATTTTCGTGAAAAGATGAGGTTCTTTTTACGCTTGTCATTGAATGACTGTGAAGGAGAAAAGGCACGGGGCAAAAACAAGGACGTCTAATTGTTGTCACACTCATGCTGACAAAGCAACTAGTTTGTAAAAGTGGAAAACAACTCTAGTGACTTAGTCCAATTTTTAAAGAAAGCTAGAGAAATTCATAAAGAAAGCAAACCGTTAAAAAAAAAGAAGACCTGAAGATTTGGTGGAGTTTAAGATGACCTCCATTTAGAGCTGCAATCTTGATTCATCAGTTAAGGCTGAATTTCGGAGTGCACTCAGCTGGAAGCAAGCCCCAAGAAAAACAATGGGACTTTCTTCAAAGCAAGCACATGCAGGGTTGTACTATCAATTACCCCGTTAATTGTGTAATTCACCAGAAAAATAAGGCTGATTAGTTTGGCAGTAGACGGTCTTGATTTGAAACACACCGACACATTAAAGCCCTATTAGTACAGTCCAAGAACATGTGTGAGCATAAAGAGTGAAAGGGGTGCAGAGCTAACTCTCTTCCCGGACCCCAAATCCCCATTTCTGCTTGCTCCACCTTGTTCCTTCCACATCCAGCCAAATGCACTAGGAATGCCCCTTCAGATCTTCTTTTGCACTGCAGGGAGTGCTGGGATGGAGACAGCTGGGGCACAGATGTTGGGGGCAGGACGGACCATGTACACCCCCACACTGTATGTCCAGGCACATTCTGTGAGCACATGAACAGGGCTGTAGGAAGTGCACAGAAGAGAAAGAAGAAAAGTCACGGGAGACGATGAGCACTATTTAAAACAGGGCTGGGAAGCTTTGGACCCTCCAAATACTGCTGAACAGTTCCCTTCCTCATTGGCCAGGCAGGCTGGGGCTGATGGAAGTTGTGGTTCAATGGTATCCCATGGGTTTTCCATCCCTGATTTAAATGGGGTGCTTCTTTCCCTTGGAGGAAGGCGGCCTCTCCCAGGATGGGTCTCCCTTGCAAGACACAGGCGTTTGCATAGTTAAAACAAAGAACCAACACTTCCTTCCTTCAGGACTGCTTTTTTTTTTTACTCATAAGCAAATTCATAAGCATGTAATTAATTAATAAATTAATTAATCAAGTATAACTCACGTGATTATGAATTATACAATTCCTTTAAAAATCGGGCGATTGTTCAAAAAGAGGGACAAAAACACTTATTCTGTATCATGTGCCAAACCATTTCTCTTGCTTAAATTGGAAAGAAAAAATACTCTGAATGTGGTTTGAATTTGCTAATTGTGATTTGGCCTAAAATTTACAATCCCAATCTAGTAAAGGCCTTGTAGGACAATGCTGGTGCTCATACCGGATTTCCAATTCACAAGGATTCAATTACTTGTGTCACAAAAGTTTCATGCCACTTTTACATTCCAAGCATATTTAAATTTTAGTAACAAAAAACAAAAGGGGAAATAATATTGATGGAAACCTATATATGTCTTGTTAGGGCTGCAGTGTTTGAGTTTGAAACATTAGGACATGCATGCAAAGAGCAGAGCACAAATCATGCAGGCACAGACCGAAAGCAGTTGCCACAAGAAAGACATAAAGGGGTTCAAAGCTAATTTGGTAGTGAATGGCAGTGAGAATTAGCATGCAAATAAGATCAATTGAATGAACTATAGCCTCAAATGGAAATTAAGTGTGCTTTTCCTTCTCTTTATTTGGGTGATCTCTTCCCCCATTAAACATTGTCCTTTGATTCTCATTAGGCCCACATTCCGTTTTTAAAACTGTAACTTATCTGGCATAATTTTATTGCAGTTTATCTTTCAAATATACAAAAGAGAACAAGTCTAAAATATCTGGTGGAATGTCTTTTTCTTTTATGAACTCGAGAGGTTATCAAATGGCTGCACAAATATGCTCAAGCTTGCTGAGACATCATAACAAATCCATCATATCATGCCGGGCTGTAATTTGCACTTTCCCGCCCTCTGCTTTCCAAAATCTGCAGTCAAAACATCAGAATGGTGCATTTCAAACAGAAGTGCTTGAAAGTTCTTCGACTGTGTACAGAACAGAAAATGCCTGATTCTCTAGATTCTCGACAGCAGCAGTTCCTCAGATGGCCTAGATCAAATGCCTCTTGGCCTCCTTTGGAGAACCCATGAGATGTGACTCTGTAATTGCCGCACCTAGAACATTTGGCACATGGGTGTCTTTTTCCAAGAGAGAAGGATATCTGTGATCCTGACATTCAGATTGGTAAAGATGGTCTACTGCAGGGGTGTCAAAATATGGAGGGGAGACTCAATTCCTGATAGGCTCCGTGGTCTGGGAAAGCGTCATACCATCGCATTACCATCTGCACAGGATCCCGGGGCTTGTTTGACACCTTGATCTGGGTCTCCAGAACGACTTGTGAATGTCATTTATGCACCCATATCAGGGGAACAGAACCAGTTTGGGGTGGTTCTGAACCATCTGAGACTGGAGATACCAGTGATGGGTGCCTTATGG